AAAGTAAAATTGGCCAAAATGGATGTGTCGCCCTTCCGTAATATTATCATTCAGGCGGGTGGGAATGATGTTCAAGCAACCGCGACCCGGAAGCAATTGAAAACGACTTCATGGAAATTATTTGTGATCTACGGAAACAGCACCCGGGAATACAAGTTTACCTCTCTGAAGTTTTACCACGTAGAGATGTAAATGTGAGTGAAGTAAATGAAATCCTAAGATATGTGTGCAAGGAGAGCGGATCTATTCTTCTCCCGATGAGCAAATCTTTCCAAAAAAGTCAAGCAAATGAGCTCTACTGGAAAGATGGCATTCACTTGTCCGATAAAGGCACGGCTGAATTGTTAAAAAACATCGATCAGTATGTTCCTATTCTGAAACAAAAGGAAAGCAGTGTTCACGCCGATTCATTTGCAGTAAGGAAAAGTTTTTGTTTCTATTGTGGAGAAGAGGGCCATTCTACTCGGAACTGTCGACACGGGAAAAAGGTATCGTGTTGGCAATGTGGGAAAATGGGGCATGAACAAAAGTTTTGTTCCTTCTAGAATATCGGCAAAGAAAGAAATGCCGTAGAACAAAATCGTAGAGATCCTGAACTTTATGTCTCAAATACAATTTTGTCCCCTGCAAATAATATTTACTCTGTTTTAAATAGCTTATGTGATGAATGTAACAATATCGATTGCTCATGTGAACACCACTTAATATATATCCCTAAAATTTTCAAAAAGTGTTCAAATGCTCAAAACAAAAATGTTTTAAATATTAGTGTCCATGACGGTATACAGAAAAGTAGCCATACTAAGATTGTTACACAGAAAAGTCCTCCAAATAATTTTAATCAGAAAGATAACGTACCGGAAAAGCTATGCACACAAAGTAATATTACTGGATTTGGACTGGTTAAAAGAGGTTTGCGTTTTGGAAATTTAAATGTATGTCATATAATACCCAAAATTGACGAAATGAAATTGTTGCTTCAAGACAAACATTCTCTCGATATTTTAGGCCTCTGTGTAACATTCTTAAATGATAATTACTGTAACTCAAGTTTAGATATTGATGGATTCACTTTCGAGAGAAAGGATAGACATTTTAAGTCAGGTGGGGGAATTGTTGTTTATATATCAAATGATATTACTTACAAGCGTAAAACTGAATTTGAAGTAAGTAATATTGAAACAATATGGCTAGAAATCAATCTTAAAAATTCTAAACCTATTTTTTATTGCTCTGTATACCGTCCACCATTTGCCCCCTCTTGCTGGGTAGAGGATTTCGCTAGGGAGATAAATATCGCCTCCTGCTGTGACGACAGTGAAATTATTATTACAGGTGACTTTAATATTGACTTACTCAAAGACCCCCTGCTATGCTGGACATCTGCTTTAGAGGAATTTGGACTAACACAAGTTATTAATGCACCCACTAGAGTTACTAACACCTCCTGTACTCTTATTGATCACTTTTATACCACCATACCAGATAACATACTGTAAGTCGTTTTAATTCCACGGTGTTAAAATTTCACGATATCTCAGAAAGTACCAATTGCGATTGTTTTAATTTCACGCTGCAAGAAACTAATTCAAAATTTCGTATAAGTATTTAAACGCTTTAAAAACCAATAATGAAATTTACGACGGGTTTAATTTCGCGGAAAAGTAATAAATCGCGAACATAGCGAAATTAAAACCATCGTGAATATTTGCCAATCTACAGTATGTGAAGTTAATGTACCACCAATATCCTTATCTGACCATTACCCTATTTGTGCAACCCAGAAATCTAATAGCATGCAGCGTAGAAACAAGCACATAGAAATTAAATACCGTGATTTCAAGAACTTTAACGAAGAAAATTTTCTGTCTGACCTAACAAATGAAAATTTTGATAGCCTTACAGAATTAAACGATCCTAATGAAATTCTTGATAAATTCTATATAATGTTAAATAACGTCCTTGACAAGCATGCTAAAATAAAATGTAAGAGAGTTAAGACTGAAACTAGACCAAAGTGGCTAACTAAAGAAATAAATGAAGCTAGACATTTTCGAGATTTTTATCACCATTAAGGGGATTATGAAAATTTCTGAATATGGAGAAATAAAGTTTTACTCCCGATTGACAATGCAAAATCTTTGTATTACAAATCAGCCATTGAAGACAGTTCAAATCCAAGAGAGATGTGGGGATATTTAAATCAATTGGCGTCTAATACTAAAACTTTTACTCCTTCCCATATCATTCATTATGACTCAGAAACTAACAGTTCACAAGAAATTGCTAATATTTATAATCAACACTTTACAGGAATCTCAAGTAAACTTTTAGATAATTTACCAAACTGCAAATTCAATCCACAATTATTAAGACAATTCACAAAATCTAAACTTGGTGATAACTTTTTTAGCCTTACACCAATCAGTGAAACAGAAGCATTTGATTCGTTGAACGGACTTGATGTCAATAAATCTGCAGGCATTGACTCCATAGGACCTCGTCTCCTAAAGCTAGCAGCAAGTATCATTAATAAATCAGTCACTAATTTAATCAATGCTAGTATCAGTAGTGGTAGTTTTCCATCAAAGTTGAAACAAGCAAAAGTCACCCCTGTATATAAAAAGGGCAACAAAGCAGACCCCAGCAACTACGGTCCCATTTCTATACTTCCAACACTATCCAAACTCATTGAAAAGCACAAAGCTAACCAAATGCAAGATTTTAAGTCCACTTTTGATATTATAACAAAATCTCAATCTGGGTTCAGAGAATTTCACTCTTGTCAAACAGCACTTACTAAATTAACAGATGCTTGGTTGCATGCTATTGACGAAAGTAACCTCGTAGGTATAACATTTTTGGATTTCAGCAAAGCTTTTGATTTAGTGAGTCATGATATTCTTATAGAAAAATTAAAGAACTACAACTTTGATGAATTGTCAATTAAATGGTTTCACTCATATCTAAATAACAGGACACAATGTGAAAAAAATGGTACAACTTCTTCTGATGTCTTATCTGTCAAAGCAGGAGTGCCACAAGGATCAATATTAGGCCCCCTTTTGTTTTTGTTGTATATTAATGACCTTCCCTTACGTGTAAGTCATGCAAATATCGATATGTTTGCTGATGACACAACTCTGCACATTTATGAAAATAATATATTTAGTATTGAAACGGCCCTAAATTCTGATTTAGAAAATATTGAAAAATGGTGCTTAGAAAATCAAATGGCTCTTAATATAGACAAAACACAATGTATGCTGATGGGTACTAAACAAAGGAAATATGTTGATAAGTTTTACTCGTATAGAGACTCTTTGAATAGCGTAAATGTAAATACATGACTTGTGTCCAGAAACAACATGGAACGCCACAATAAACACAATTATTACAGTGTTTCTCATTCTTTCTGAAATCTTAATGATTAAAAACATTGTTCTATGGCTATAAAGTGTAACAGATGAAGAAAAAGGGAGCAGAAAAGAAGATTAGAAAATATGTCACAAAAACAAAAAATTAAAAAGGATAGTTCTCACCTCTGCTTACTGATATTATTGTTATTAATTCTCTTGATGTAATTGCTCCTCCATATATAGGACTTTAAAACCATTTGTGATACATTACTCCGCAATGAAATTTAATACACATGCAATTTGAAAATTTGTATTGTTTTGTAAGGATACAATTTATTGATCGAAAGTAAAATGAATGACAGCGTTAATCTTTATATAAGCATATACATGTACGAATGCATCTTTTCAATCACCAAAAGATTCAATTCCAATGGCCCAAATCTCGTGTTCTTATTGGGTTTTATTTCTAAATATGAGTAAAACCGGACCAAAATACATTACATTTACATATAATTATTAAATAACCCTTCCAGTTTATTTTTATAATTTAAACACAATGATTCATGTTCTCGCCGGTATGAGTGTTCCTTTTCTGACTTATGTTCTAAGGTTGGATCGATTTAGAAGAAGCATTATTTGCTTCATAAATGGAAGTTTTGCTGACTAAAAGGACTATAGAGGCCAGTATTTTCCCAATCACCTACATATGGTTTTTTCCATAAACAAAAATAGTCGATACTCGAGAGCATGCTTCGATCGGTGTTAAATCCGTGGCGGCTTCTGTCAGATAAGCTGATGTTACAGGGTTTTCAAAAAACCAATTTTGAATCTCCATTACAATCAAGTCAACAAAATTGGCTGTAAAACCATGTAAAAAGGCATCGCTTGTACGATCCTTGTATCTATTTTAAATTTGACTACAAATTATTCCGTATACCTGATAAAAAAAAGGTTGAAGGCAGATAACGATGTGACCGGTTAACAGGGGCTAATCGTTCCCAGCTCTGGAATCGCTGTAGTTCTGTGTTTATGCATTGATCATAGAAATGACTTGTTTATACAATGTTTTAAGATAAACTATTGTCCGTTATCTTCACCTTTATTGAAGATTTTTCATTTGTAAACTTACAGTTATAGGGGAGCATTGCGTTGTAAAGAAATTTAGATATCCATTTGAAAGATGTTAGGATATTAAGATTTGGGACATTCATTTGAATTAAGGAACTTGTTCTATATTCATATTAATACAGTATTTTGTTTTAACTAAACTATAATTGTTCGTTGTCTTCACCTTTAATGAAGATTTTTCATCTGAAGACCGCTGGGCTGTACGGTATTACTTACACCTTGCAAGGTGATCCTGAAAAATTGATGAAAAGGCATCGCTTACATGTAATTATAAACGTAAATAACATAATTTATGTATATAATGAATATTGCCAATGCAAATTCATTTTGATATAATAACTTATTTGTGGAACCTCTCGTTCATTAACATTTTCGTGTACTGTCGAGAACCCAACTCACAGTTATTGTACTATCGCAGAATTTCAAGACACCGCCTTAACTCTCCATTCTTATAAACAACAATACATTTAGGTATGTTGCACTTTGCCAATAAAGTGCTTGCATTAAGTCTCTAAAGTTAATGAAAGGCAACAAACAGTTTTAGAAATAAAATACATGATTCTGACTAAGCACAGCAGTGTTTTTGCACAAAAATTAATATCTTTACTGCTTTTTCAGTGCACAGTAATCACAAGGTTGCTCTCGATCATCATGATCATTATCTTCAGCAGCAGAGGCACCGGGTTCCTTATATCTTATCCCTGTATTGAGATTGCTGTAATCACTATCTTCCATTGTACGATTAGTGTTTCCTTGGGCGTGGTCGTAAGTTTCATCATTTTCGGAATCCTCTTCCTTTTCATGCAGATGATTGTATTCGTCATCATTTACGTCATAACTTTTCATCATCGAACTTTTATTTCCATGATAGGTGCGCGTGTTTTTGTTACTGGGAAATAATTGGAATGAGCACAATTTGGCACATTTTCAACCTTTCTCTGGAATTAAAAAATGTTAAATAAAATAATTTACGTTTGTTTTATTTCATTTATTTTTTGACCAGTTTAACTACGTTTAATGGCATTTTTCGCTGTGTACGTGAACCTAGCACGCCAAAAATTGTCTCAGTCATCATATTAGAATCTTTTACAATTACATCAAGATTATTTTGTCAAATAGCAGGAAAAGGATGTTTTCATGAAATATAAAAATGTTACTATATGCTTGTGCAAAGATTTACATTTATTTAATATTTTATATATTTCTCACCAAGATTTATATTTATTTAATATTTTGTATATTTCTTACCTCACATTGCACGGTAGAAATATTCTTATCTGCATCTCTTTCAGCTTCATAAGTAGTATTTTTAAAAACTGCAGCCTTCGGGTATTGCCTTATCAAAGTAATAAAAATTGTAATTTGATTTCAAACATCAGTAAAACGTGTCAAAATAAAAGCTTATACACAGAAAGATAATTGTAATCATTTTTAAAGCCAGAAGTCTTTGTTGAGACTGTAGCTCTACTGGTTTATACTGATACAAAGGGAGAGAAAAGTAGCAGCTGTGACTTGAAACTTTACAACAGCAGTAAGTAAAATAATTATCCTTGATTAAGTCTCTTTTTGTGGCGAGATTTTGAATGTATTTTATTGAAATTTCTATTTTTAGTAACCACAGCAACACCGTTCATTGATATCAAAAATCGATAAATACAGAATTATGTATCTGGGTGTAATTTACTTGTGTGTCAAGGTATATTGAAATCAAATCAAAACTGTAGGAGGAGTAGCATTTTTTTTTAAATGTTAGCAGATAGACAGACAGCTAGACGGACGGACGACGGACGCATTCTTATTGCATACGCTCTTCTGGTCTCTGACCAGCAGAGTTAAAAATGAATAAGTTTTATACTTTTTTCCAGTCTTATGTTTCTCGTTTCTTATATTACAATGTATCGTAGATGATAACTCCAAGGATAGTTAGGACAATGCCTAGGATAAGGCCTCCAATAACAGCTCCAACCATCAAACCGACCACTCTATATTCTGCAAGGATAACAATAATTTACTACCAAAATTTTGATTAACTCTTTCAAATCATACCAAACCACCTATTTCTAGTGTTTTACACCATTTGTTTATAAATAAATTTAATTTCTAGGAAGGTAAATCCTAAAGCTATATAGATTTCAAAACAAGGAAGACATAATTTTTTCATAACGATTTTTGTTGGCGCTTGATTTCAGTTAAATCACAAATCCATTAGAATCTTTCGCTATCATCTGAACATGGTTCAACATCTTCCAACAAATTTTATACTCATACAAGCTCTGAGAACAATTAATTTTTAATCAGGCAGAAAGTTTATATAGCATAGATTTAAAAACTATGAATGATAAGCTAATTTATGGAACTGTTTCTTAATATACTGTAGATCACTTAATTTTCGCGAGACCTTATTTTTGTGAGATAGTCATTGACTCTTCATTAGCGAGACACGAATTGTGGTCATTGCTCTGTATAAATTAAAGGAATTATATTATACTCGAGAAAGAAATTTTCACGACCACACCGTCTCGCGTATAAATAAAGTTCTCGCGAATAAAAAGTGATTTACAGTAACATTTTCCTGCGCCGAATTTTGGCATAATTTTTGGAACGAACGTTCTAGTGGAGTTTAATCCCCCCCTCCCCTTTACATGTATGTACACCTCATAACATTTACCTCTTAATCAACGAAAAAGATCACATGCTGAATTTATGAACAAATTTTCGCACATTTATGCTTCCATTTCCAATTTCAATTAAAACTAGTAAACTAATTGTTCAGAGAACAATAAGACGTCTTTCCACCTTTTTAAGAGTTTCAATATCATTTGGGCTGAAAAAAAGTAGAAAAACAGCAAGAAAATAAATAAAACAGCAAAATTCTCATTTCTCTACTAGGATTTTAGATCGGGCTCGCAGTTGGTATAATTTTACCGTAAACAGACTTCCTGGATTGTTTGTAGTCGACTCGGGGATAAGCACGAATTCATTGATCACGCAAAGAGAGCACGTTCAAAACATTGTAACACGCTCCTATGTGTATGTATGAGCTTGAATGAGATTGTTTTCGAGTTAAGATGTAAGGGGTAGGGTCTGATTAAAATTATGATATACCTATTAATATGAATTACATGCATTTGATCTGCGCATCAAGACGGAAGCGTAAGTGAAAAACGTTGTGAAATGTCCCATGTGTACCTGCATCATATGTGCATTATACATGTATTAAAGAGATGTTTGAAAACATCCGATTTGAGTTGTTTTATGTTTGAAATGGATGGCGATAAATTATTTAAGAGCAAGTGAGAAACACGAGCGAGAGATGCAAGGCAGTTTGTAATTATGGAAAAGGAAAACAGAGAATCGGGTTCGGATTTTAACATTCCTGACCGAAATAGGCATGAAATTCATTGTAAGTAGCATAAATAAGATTCCAAACATGTAATTCTAGATGGGAAACACAGGGAAGAAACGTGTATTTCTTTTTACTATGCTGAAAGTCGCTATTTCTTGGGCTAGTGTTATTATAGAAAAAAAATCAAATTTCAAATGAATTCAAGATTCATTACATTAATATTAAATCTAAATAAAATTGAAATAAATTCCACATACTAAAGAAAGCTAGAATACTTGGTTTTAAAATGTCGTATTAGAACAGGAGAATCGAATTATTTCATTATATTTTAGAGACTCACCTTAAAACTCTCAGGACACTTTCTTTAAGGTCTCTTCTTGCTTTTACTCTGAATCTTATGTCGATATATCGTGTCTTTTGACTTATAGACATTTTCTCTATGCTGCTGTTGATTTTTTTTTTTAAGAAAAGGGGGGGGGATATAAGCATTTGTTAAAGTAAGAGTTGAAAATACCTCGACGACCTTAAGCTTGATTGTGACCTTTGGGTCAATAGGGGGTCAAAGGTCAAGGTCATTTATCGAGGTCAAAGGTCAAGGTCATCAAAATAAGAAGAAAGAAAAGAGAGAGATAAACTTGAGATTAACACTTGAAGCTGAATCTAGATAAAGGTAATGAATATTTCTTTACAAATTTTTGAGTAAGGGGTCAAAGGTCAAGGTCAAATATCAAGGTCGAAGGTCAAGGTCATTTGGATTTTAAGCTTAAATCGACAATTTCTCTAGTTTTTCAATTACCTTGAACTTTGACCTTGACCTATTCTTCAAGGTCAAAAGATCTCATGCAGTTGGGCCCATGTCTTTATGAACTTGTGGTTAAGAAGTTTTTAGTTCTTCGTAAACATCATAAACTGGCAGGGGCAATAACTACTTAAAATAGTTTACGAATTCTTTTGCACCAATGGAATGAGAAGTGTTCTAAATTAGTCGCAGACATTGTTGAAGGTTTCGTACCTCTACGGTTTACGGTTTCAGAGGAGTAGCGATAACAAGGGTTTACACTGAAAGGGGCACTAACTTTCACAGGGTTCAATTTTAGGGGACAAGCATGGAATCTCTGAAATGGTTTTGAGAGTACATACGAAAGATGCAAAGGTGTTTAGAATTTGGTTAAGAACAAAAGAGCTATAAAATATGCTTAATTTTACATATTTTGAATGACCTTGACCTTTGACCTTGACCTAAATTTCAAGGTCAAAGGTCAATGAATCTTTTGCAGTTGGCCCCATGTCTCTTCGCCTTGTCGTTTAAGAAAAGATCTTGATAATTGTAAACATTGCAAACATTCAGGGGCAATAATTCATCATACGAGTTTAAGAATCCTTTCGCAATGAAGGATTGAAGTCTTCTAATTAAGTCGTAGACATAGGTGAAGGTCTAGAAACTCTGCGGTTTACGGTTTCGGAGAAGTAGCGATAACAAGCTTTACGACAAAAGGGCTAATAACTGAGTAAGGGGTCAAAGTTCAAATACGTTGGGTCATTTTTCGGAATAACTTTTGATATCCAGTATCATGAACTATAAAGTTTTTCGATAAGTCTTGTGGTTTCAAAAGTCCGGCGGAAAAAGAATAATAATAACAAACATAAGCATTTCAAGAGGTCTTTCCACAGAAAGGTGGAAAGACCTAATGAAATAATAAAAAAAATCATCATAGAATACTCATGGATGTCAAAGGATGTGTTTTGAATAAATGTCTTTCTTTTATAGTACAATACTTTATCAAACTGACAAAAGTCACTCATAAATAAAACCAAAGTTTTCTGAAATATTTTTACAAACATAGAAAAAGGAACAAGAAATAATGAATGCACATGTATTTCTACATGCATTTGCATTTATCTTTACCTCCAAGAAACGGAAATATAATACTGAAATAGATTACTGAAAATTTAAATACCTATTAGTTCCATGGCACGAGCTTCGAATTCTCCATTTTCAGAGTGCACTATAAGCAATTATATTCTTGTAGAAAATGATCTTTGAGACAAGAAAGAAAGTTAAGATGAGGTTTTATCAAAAATATATATCCCTTATGGTGAGTCTACTAATGCTGAATGTTTTTTTTTTTTTTTAATATCTAAATACCTTTTTAATAACGCACAAAATATATTCGAAGATTTCAAAGATTTTTTGTTGTATTAGATGTTTAGGTATTTTTCCTAACACAAAATAACAAGGTATTCATATCCATAAGCTATCAAATCCATAAAAATGTCTTTTTTCTTACCCTTCGTTAAGAATTCATTCAATATGTAAAACTTTTTATTTAAATTTGATTTATATATACAAATTAATACTGTAAAAAAAAAAAAAATACTGTAAACGTATTACATTTGGCGGTTTATTCTATTTAGCGTTTTTGGCGAAAAGAAACTTCCGCTAATTCAAGTACAACGCTAAATGTCTTAAACAAATGTACATAAATAAGAACATTAAGAAATGCGCTAATTCAAATCTACGCAAACCTGTTCAAAAATCAATTTCCGCCAAATATCGTACATGCTAAAAAAAAAACATTTACAGTATAAACTTACACAAACATTCCGAATCATTATACGGTTTATATCCAGGCCCACAGACACATGTGTTATTCTGACAAATAGAACCAAATACCATAGAGCACTGCTGATTTAGTTTGCATGTTCCATTCAATGTCAAATTTCCTGATAAGTAAGAAAATTAGCACCCCAATAACGTCATATGACGGATATGCACCGTCACACAGGTTTAAAAACGCTTTCCCATCGTTTCATTAAAAAATTGATATTCGAAAACACATTCACACATTTCACTTTCTTTAAGAATTATTGTCACCAATTGTACACTCTATCAGTAAATTAGTCCTTCATCAAAATTCTTTGAACAGTACCACAAAACAAACTTAAAAGTTTCTCATACAATGTAGATAAAACGAGACTTGATCATAGATGGTGTCAGAGATTTTGGGCGGGTCATGGGTAATTAATTGATCAGCTGAGAACAGAAAGACCGAAAGATACGAGGTTTGGTGGAAACGTTCAATGGCGTCTACGTTGTAAAAAAAGAGATTCGTGTCACGCGGTTTGAGTGAAATAACATTATTCCTCTGCGAGTCTGATTTATCATTGTAACTGATTCTACTGGTGATTTCCCAATTTTTAAGGAAAAACGCATTAAAACTCAGTTCGGCGTTTTATTCAATTTCGTCATTTCCTTTCTTCAAAACATCAGTTTTATACGGAAGCCCATTTAGGACCTATCAAAAATGTTTTTGAATTCGTTATAACAGATTTATTGAATTCGTTATAACGAATTTAATTTGTTATAACAGATTCATTGAATTCGTTGTAACGAATTTAATTTGTTATTACAGATTTATTGAATTCGATATAACGAATTTAATCTGTTATTACAGATTTGTTGAATTCGTTATAACGAATTTAATCTGTTATTACAGATTTGTTGAATTCGTTATAACGAATTTAATCTGTTATTACAGATTTG